AAATACTTGACAGGAGTACAATCATGGTAGAATTTGCCATATAGAGAGCATGGTCTCTGACTTGCCTCTGTCTACACCAGTGACGTGTTGAAGTTTAATGTGAGGTATTTTAAAAGGGCGGTTTGACTTTTAACTCCTAAAACAGAAAAAAAAAACATTTGAACTTATTACTTGATAGAGGTTGATAGAATCTATCATAGTCTGTTATGGAAAAATACTGTATATTAATGCTGGACGAGCATTCTTCATATACGTCCATATAAAGAATGCATCTTGATGAGTAATCTATCATAGATAACTAAATATTAATTCAGTGCTAGTTCTGATGTATCATTTCCTCTCCTCTTTCTTTAGTGTCTGACTGTGAAGTGTTTGTTATTCTTTCATTTTGAGATTTTTACACCTCAGTAAGGCATCATATGCAGTTAGATTGAAATGACCATGTAAGCATTGCTGCAAGTTGTTTTAGCTATTGTTACATTTGCCATTGTTTTGGCCTATTCTGCCCTACTAGTTTCCGTTTTGCACTTAGACCATATTGTAAATCAGATTAAGTGATAAATGTGGTACACTGGGCATGTAATGCTAAGCCAGTGGGGTTTAAGTGGTGATGCAGCTAAATGTGAACTCCCATATTAAACTATGACTTAACTTCTGCAATCTTTACTCCATGCTTAGTCATGACAAACTTCCAAATAAAATGTTTACAGAAAGTGTCGCTGCATTTTGGGGTCTATTTGCAACAATGTGATATTATGGATGATGTACACTACCAAATGTTCGGATGCACTTGAATTTACACTACCGTTCTTATGATTTTTTAAAAAGAAATTAATACTTCTATTCAAAAGTGACAGTAAAGTCATTTATGTTATAAAATATTTATATTTCAAATAAATGCTGTTATTTCATATAAGAATCTTGAAAAAATGCACCATGGTATCAGTTTTCACAAAAATATTTATATATATGTGCTGCTATATTATATAAAATAATATAGCAGCACAACTGAAAGAACAGTTATTTTAAAATGTTAATATTTCACAATATTACTGTCTTACTGTAGTGTTAATCAAATAGTAGTGTGTTTATCATGATCTTCTGCTCAAATGCTTAATGTTTATGCTTAAATGCTTGAAATCAAAATATAAAGGCAAACGCTTTGCAACTAGTGTTTTTTTAAATGGATGAATTAAACCAAATAGTAAAAAAAAGGGCCAACAAGTTCCCAGCATACATGGGAACTCCTTTGTCTTTAAAAAGGATTGCATGATGGACCTCATGAAGCTCTTTGAAACTCAGAAGCTCAAATATGATCGTTTTGACTTGCTTAACATTGGCTTCTTGCTTAATCGTTCTTACTGCAAATACTTTAATTAGTGTTATTAATTCGTTCATTCTAAAATGAAGAAAATAGTACTATTAAAGATGAGCATGTATGTTCAGACTTTTCACTGGTAATGTTAACATTGAAGACAGAGGATGTCTTGTGATTTTTGATTCATAAGACAAAAGATGCACCTTGAATGAACTGAATCTGAAATATTAAGCTCCAAGGCAACAAATGCAAAAATATATATATAGTTTAATAATTTTACAGTGTCTTTCACAATGTGACTATAAGACATCAAACTATTCCCATATTTACAGAGCTTTGCACATACAATCAAACATGAATATTTCAAGGAACAATAGAGTCAGACAATGTACTTTATTACATTTCCAGTTGTGCACATTAGGCTTGATCCAGTCTGAAGTCCAGGGGTTTTAGGAAGTCCGGCAGTGAGTCCAGCTGGTCTGTGGGAATGGACTGGCTGAGCTTCTGCATGGCCTGAACGAACAGTGAAGGGGGTGATGTTCTTGAAAGACACTGGAAGGCCTGCTCTCCTATGAGCGCCCTCCACACATCGGCATTGTCCTGCAACTGTCTCTTCATCTGGAAGCGAAATGTGGGCATGAATAAAATGAGGTAGCCGAGGCAGATGCGCTTCGTCCGCATGTCAAAGTCACTCTGGCAGATCTGGCTGAGTAAACAGTCCAGGGGGGTGTTCCCTGTCAGGTCCGTTGCGTAAGGACACGCGCCATGACCCAGCAACAGTATCAAGCACTCGGGACGCACCAGATCACAAGCGAGATGCAGCGGGGTCTTGCTGTCGTCTGTGTGGTCGCATCCCTGACGGTTCAGGTAGCTCCTTCTCTCGCAGTCTGTGAAGTCTTTAATGGTGGCCATGATCATTTTCAGGATGTTGATGCGGTTGTAGCGAACGGCTATGGCCAGGTGCGGTGTGGTGGATGCCTGGCAGCAGCGGAAACTTCTGCTGGGCATCTCCAGTGCGCGGGTGGAGAACCTGTTGAGTAAATAACGCGCGTACTGCTGGTGATCATGTACCAGCGCGTACAGAAACGCCTCTGACGGGGAGTACGCGCATGCCTGTCCGTCATCTTCCCAATGAAACACCTCCATTGTCCGCATGTCCTCCAGGACCCACACCGGCAACAGGTCCCGTACAGCCTGATAAAATGCAAATGAGGTTTTTTGGCATTGTTTCGGGGATTTATAATCCGCGCGGCTCTCGTACATCCCCACATACAAAGGCATTGTGAGTTCCGCTGTTATATCAAACGTTTTTGGGGGGCTGTTTGGATTTAAAATTACGATTTAACGGCTTTTACCTGGATATTCAGTGCAGCCAGAGCTGATGCTGAAACATTTGTGAGAATATAAATATGTAACCCAGGAGGCCAGGCGGAATAATAAATAAAAAAATAAGGCTGTATCTCGTACGATACAGTCTAAAACCGTTCACCCGCCTTCAAACCCCACTACAAACTCAGCCGAGAGTTTATATATGCTGGGCAGGTTTGCGCATATCTCTGCGCTCTTTGCCATTGGACGCTAGCGCAAGTCACCAGGGTACAAAGTGCCTCCAGCTTTTCCTTATTAGTGTAGAACTCGTGTGTTTGGGCGCGATCGAGTGACCCTCGCGCATTCAGTACATTCAGCGCGAGTCTTGTTACATAATATTTCACAGACCGAGCCATGCGCTCGTTGCACGGGGTGACATACCTGAACTGTTTATCATGGCATCCTGAAAAAGTGTATAATTATGGGTGAACGATTAAGTGTTTCCTTGAGGTTATATTAATTGTATATATGCACAATGAAGATTTTTTTTTTGGAAGTTAAGAGATTTTTCTTTTGTAGAAGTGAAGGGCAAAGTATGTAAAAGTAAAAATGAATATAACTGGTCGATAATCTGGTTTACGACTCGCTATGGGAATGTTTAAATGAACTGCAGTAGTCAAGTGAAACTTCATTGAGGATGACAAAGATGTGTTGAGGAACACGGCCGCCATCTAGCGGATAAGTATTATGATTGCTTTAAAAAAGAAAGAAAAACAAAGATAGTTTATCATTTAATAATTTCTCATTATTTACATTGGACCATCGCTACTTTTTATTATTATTTAAAACAAACAGTTTCTGCAAATCCTGGACACTTAAATCGGTTTAAAAATATTATCAGTTTTTCTCTAATTATGTTCAGGGGATCAGATGAATCGTAATCAGATGTAATAACATGTAATTACAGCCTGTATAGCAATTCTGAATAGACATACTACTGCAAAAAAAATAAAATAATACTGTTTGGATTTGACAGGTGCTTGGATTTAATTATTCAGAATGTTGTTAAATACATTTTACACTACACAGATTCATTTGCAGCTGTGTGCTATATTTAAGCTGTTCATCCAACCGGAGTTCAGGATCTCAGTAGGATCTCGCTAAATCTGTAATAAAAACAATTATTTATTTTGAGATGCCACCATGAAACAAAATGTAGACTAAAATAATATTTTAGGAGTACTTCCAGAACAATGAGACGAAGATTGTGCAGCGCTACAGGCCCAGATGTCCTGATGACTAGTTTTTGAACAGATGTACCTCGAATTACATGAGACTACAACGATACAGAAGGCATACGAGCATCACATTAAATAGCATTTATTCCTTCTAAATTCTGATCTAAATCTAATAACTAATATTTTCATTTTTAGTAAGTAATCCAATATTGACTATTATATTTTAGTTTTACTATTAACTTTTCTTTAGACACTGGAAATGTATTTACAAGTAACTATTCAAATACTTACTGGACTCTTTTGCAGTTTTTCTATTATCAATATACACTAGTCTAAAGAGACAATAAGCCTCTATTTTTAGACAATTGTGCATTCCATTTGTTACTATTATCATTTTAGTCTTAAGATTTTCTAGATTTTATTTGAAAGATTTGGTGTCTCATAAATATGTACTAGTATGTCATTACTAGATAATAACATGTCAATGGACAAAAATGCTGCCATGTCTTGAACATTGTAATGAATGTAGAAAGTAAGTGATAGAATTGTTATTTTTAGGTGAACTTTCCTTTTTAACTTTTTGAGCACACCTGACACTTGAGGGTTTCTTGTCCAAAAGCAGAGTAAAGGACTAAAATTAAAATAGTTCAACTAGAAGTTAAAATAACTAATATTTTTGTTTTATTACATGACTCTGTCCTAACCATGACCTATAAACACATTTAAGTGCAAGCCACACATGTTCTAATTTGATGATAACTCTCCCACTTTGACTTTTATGAAGCAGTGCGGTGGGTAATGGAGTGCAGCAAAACAGCATCAAGAATATCAGATATGAGGGGGATCTTCCACTATTTGCTATAGTGGGAGATCATGGTTACTAATGCATTGACGCTTTTCACTAAACCAGTCCACAAGTACGGAGTGCCAGCTGATGCAACTGCGTTTTGCCTAGAGTTGTTTTTCATGCACATTGATGTTTTCTAGACAAACACTGCTTCGACGCTTGGTCTGGAGAAAATAAATAGCTTGTTTTTTGTATGCATAAGAAGTTTGAATTTCTGCCTTGAAGAGGAACTGACGTTAGCTAAAGCAGGTCAATCAGAGAGAGAAAGAGAGAGAGAAAGAGAGAGAGAGAGAGAGAGAGAGAGAGAGAGAGAGAGCTAACGCTAGATCAGCCACACTGCTAGCACTGCAGCCGTGTGAGCTTTTATCTGCCTCCAAAGCTAAACTTAACTTATTAACACGACTGGGGGAAATATTATGCATTCGATGCACCTTTTTATTTGTTCGTAACTCTGTATTGCCAGTTGGGGGAGTTTGCATCAGTGCAGGACGGTGTTATTTGTTTCCGATCAGAGCAGTTGAGCTGAGTTAGCTTAGCTATAGCGAGCCCAAGTTCTTTCAAGCAGCTTTGCGTTTCGCTGTCAAGATGCCTGCGATGTTAGAGAAGGGCACCGCTGAGATATCGGGTAAAAGAAGGGGTAGAAACTCTGTGAATAATACGATCAAAAGTTTTACTTCAAATGGGAACAGCAACAATTCATGGGAGGAAGGAAGTTCGGGTTCCTCAAGTGATGACGAGCATGGTAAGTCATGGTGGTAGCCTCGGTCGCTCCTCACAAGTTCATACACTTCTGATGAATGTAATCAGTTCATATTATTTGTTCTTTTGTCACTCACAAGGTGCAGGAGGGATGCGAGTTGGACCGCATTATCAGGCAGTTGTTCCCGATTATGATACCGGTTTGTGGATTTTGAGTGTTGGAAGGTTCATTGACAACACAGGGTGGATTGCGTAATAGCCTCAAACACTGTCCGGAACAGTTTGTCCGTTCAGTGCACTTCATGTTCAGCAAGAATAGAATTTTTATTTTTTGTCTCGCTGGCAACCTACACTAAAAGTGGTCTGTTGTAGTTATGAAAAAGATGCTAAAACAAAAACAAAATATGAAATAAACTTTAGGTGGCTGACTATTGTTTGAAACTTGAGGTGATGATAATGAGCACCTGATGTGTCAATCATTGACTGTATATTTGTTAAGAGAACAGCATTCATTAGGCATTTTTAAAAATAAAAATATCTTCATTCTGATTTGATTTATTTAGTTCACTAAACGTAAACATTTCCTTTTTACCTAAATATCAAAAGATTTGGTTTCTTGGATTTATTAAAATCTTTGTAGAAAAGGGCTTTGAGTAAAAAAAAAAAAGCTATTAGTAGTAACAATAATTTGAAATCAAAAGAGATGGATGTGTTCTTGTTTAATCCACTAATCTCTCTCTCTCTCTCTCTCTCTCTTCTGAATTTCTGTGTTTCTTGTATGCTCTCTCTCTCTCTCTCTCTCTCTCTCTCTCTCTCTCTCTCTCTCTCTCTCTCTCTCATCAGAGGTAGCACAGGCAAGCCAGGAGAGAGATAATCTGGGAATGCTGGTGTGGTTTCCAAATCCAAGTATACCAGAGCCCAAATGTGAGTCATTTATGAGGGTGTTAATTGGCTGTATAAATATGACAACAGTTAATGCTGTTTTTAAATTAAATATTGTCATTCTTTCAAATTTTTTATCATGTTACCCAGTGGTATTCTGATACATACATTTAGAGCTGAAGTGTGTAATGTTTTGATGATAAAATACTTCCTACTCTCCCAGCATAATACAGAGAACCATTTGTAGTGTGATTCAAAAAAAATAAAAAAGTATCCGTTTGAGTGTGCAGATTAGCCCGAAATGGCATAATTTGAGTCTAGCGCTGAAATGTTTGTCCAACCAATGGCAGACAAGAAGCTTGTGCAGATGCAGCCAATGAATATTCAAACAGATTGTATTTATAATGGAGCACTTGCTGCCTATTACTGTATAATACTTTTTGTCTTGTAAAATACTTAAACTAATAACAAAACAGTAGCTGATTCTGAATGACCTCCTCTCCTAGGTTCACGAAACAGTCGTCGATAAAATGCATTGCTGTTCTGTTGTAAGTAATCTTAAAGATTTCTAAATGCATCTACTTTCGGAAGGCCAAATAAAGTGCTTTTGCTTTCGCCTAGAAACACACAGCATCTCCCTGACATGCTGCTTCAACACTAACTGCGGTTACTGAAACCACGCCTTCTTTCTTTGCGTGCATTATGCAAATATTCCCACATAGTGAGGTAGATATGTGGGGGCGTGTTAGAACGAGCCATTTTAGGGGGGCGTGGCAGAGTCTTAACTTTGATAAAGAATATCTCTTCGGTTTTGAGACTTTAGTCTTTGCAACTTCAGGGATCTTATCTATGCACAATCAGCTTGTAACACACCAAAGAGAAAGGAAAACTTGAAATCGCATCATATGACCCCTTTAAGTTTTCGAATGTGAGATACACATCAATTCTACAATTTGCATAGAATATTAGTAGTTTGAGAGTATGCGATTCCAAATCATCATTGTTTTTTCAGTTCTGTTTGGTGCCTCTTGTGGGACAGGATTTAAAGACTTCATGTTTAAATGTTGGCTTGAACCAAGCATTCAAAATCATTGAGAAGGCTATAATATAGAGTAAATAATTTTATTGTATTAGATATGTCATTCAATCTATAAAGAAATGTATTTCATGTGTGAAATAATTGTTTATATTTCAAGGGTTTTTAGTTTTAGACTTTTTGAGTTATATTCTGATGATTGTTTTTTTTCTTGTTGTTGCAGTGGATGAGTATATTGCAATAGCCAAAGAAAAACATGGGTACAATATGGAGCAGGTAAAATGGTTATGTTTGAAATCTATGCTTGTTTTTTTGCAGTGAAAATTATGAACTTGAAAGTTTTACTTTTTTCTAAAGGAAACAATATATTTTGTAGACACTAAGCACAATCAGAGATTTTCAATACTCTTTTTATGTAACCTGTTGTAACTCACAAGATAAGGTAGACTATTCTTTACTGCATTAGTTGAATGTTTCCTGTAGTTACAGTTTTATGGTGTCAAACATAAGTCGTCTTTTAAAGTCTTTGTCATGGCTTTTTGTATTTAACAGGCATTGGGCATGCTGTTTTGGCACAAACACAACATTGAAAAATCTTTGGCAGATCTCCCCAACTTCACCCCTTTTCCAGATGAGTGGACAGTTGAAGACAAGGTGCTGTTTGAACAGGGTTTCAGCTTTCATGGAAAGACGTTTCACCGCATCCAGCAGATGGTAAGTGAGATGGCTGAACCCACTCTCACTATTAAAATAAAACATGCACTTGAGAGAAGCAGCATCTTCCCGTATTGAAGTGACAACCAATCATAAGGTGCCTCAGAAATTCAGCTCATTAATGGACAGGCACTGGTGCATATGAAGCCCAAATGGGTTCTGTCAAGTCCTAAATTTGAACACTTTGACTAAATTACAACTGAATCTGTGTCAGCTTTGATCATGAATAATGATGTTTCCATCACAAACAAGTTTTTTTTTTTGTTCCAGCTTCCAGACAAGTCAATTGCAAGCCTGGTTAGATTCTATTACTCGTGGAAGAAAACACGCAGCAAAACGAGTGTGATGGACCGCCATGCACGTAAACAGAAGAGAGACAGAGAGGAGAGGTCAGCTATGGCATGTTTGCTATCTCCTTTTTATGTTTTCTTTGGTTTTAAAAGTCTTGGTCAAAGATGAGTTGTGCTGTCATGGAATGCTAGCATGATTTATTTTTAGAATATGTTGAAAAAGAAATGTCATATTTGAAACTTTTAATCCTTTTTCATGTAGTGATGATGGAGAAGAAAATAGTTGCATCTCTCCAGGGGATGCTGAATTTGAGCCAAATAAGGACGAGAAGAAAGAGGTAATATAAATGGACATATTTTTCTGCACATTATTACGCCCAACCTTTTAGTTTTACATTAACATAATTATATGACTGGCTTAAATTGATATAAAACTATATAATAAATAAAATTCTGGTAATACTTTAGGTTATGCTTTATTTTATGATGACCTTGTTATAGTATAATTATACATTTAAGTAGTGAGTAATGCTAATGAACTACATGTACCTTACGATATGGTTAGGGTTAAGATGAGGGCTTGGTTTAGGGTTAGTTGCATGTAATTATTATTACTATAGTAATTACATGTAACGTGTGACTAGGACAAATAACCATATTTTATTCAAATGTGATTTAATTTATTGCATTTATCTTTTAAGTTATTTCATTTTTTTGAGTATTTTATTTTATTTGGATATATAATTTTTTGTCAGTCCTGCTTACTTACAGGGCATCTATCTCCATAAAAAAAAATTTGATCTTTTTAAGGGAACATCTGGACCTGAGAAACAAGATTCAAAACCTGCAGTTGTGCCGAAGGTACAATAATATATATATATATATACATATCAAAGTGCCAGATGCCATCTAATGTGAGCATTTGCCCACTCAAGTCTGTTACGACGACGAACTGGACTCAGGTCGAGACCCTGATAAAAAGTGTTGCGTTAATAATTTTGTTCAGTGTATATATATATATATATATATATTTTTTATTTTATTTTTTATTTATCTGTTTTGTTCATGTGGAATGCTCATTGACTGTACATATGTGAATCTACATCAATAAACATAATTTAAATCAATCACAGATTTAAATAGCTCTGTGTTTTCGCTGTTTTTCTACAGCCAGCCAATCTTGCAGAGAAGTCAATGCATGTTAAGAAGGAACCACAAGGAATTGCTGGAAGGAACCTACACAGGGCAAAGAAGAAACCTCCTAAAGGAATGTATTTAAACTCTGATGATGTGGCGGCAATGTCTAGCAGCGGCTCAGCCGCAGTTAGTGTTCTGAGACAGCTGGATATGGAGCTCATTGCCATAAAACGACAGGTCAGCGTTTTATTAATTTTCGACAAAAACATCACTTTTATCTCTGTGTGCTTTATTTGAGATTATCGGCAGAACTAAATGTAAATCTGACAGACAGTTTAGAAGTATGTGACGGTCTAAACTGAAAAGTTTCAAAATAATACAAATAACCCTAACCTCTTTTTACAGATTCAGAGCATCAAACAGCACAATAGTGCCCTCAGAGAAAAGCTGGACACAGGCTTGGATGAGTTTAAGCCAACTGAGGTAATAATATTCTCATCTTTAGAATTACTTTCCAGCACACTCATTTCATAGAGGGCCGTATTTACAGTTTTTATGCATTTTATTCACAAAAGGGTATAAATGTGCTTTGTTTTTCTCAGGCTAATCAGAAATGTAATACCCGCTGGACCACAGAAGAGCAGCTGCTTGCAGTACAAGGTAATTTTGGCCACATTTTTCAAATGTTTGTGGGGCTTACTGGATAATGAATGATTATTTAAATAGCACGTTTTAAGCAGTGAAATTCTGGACAATCTTTGGTTTCCTCTCACAGCTATAAGGAAGTATGGGCGGGATTTCCAAGCCATTTCTGATGTGATCGGCAACAAATCTGTGGTTCAAGTGAAAAACTTCTTTGTGAATTATCGGCGTCGTTTCAACCTGGATGAGGTACTGCAGGAGTGGGAAGCTGAGCATGGCGTGGAGGGACGCAAGGGTTTAGATGAAGAGAAGATGGAGGTGTCATCCGAAGAGGGGACCACCCCGGTGCCTTCAGAAAACCAGACAGAGGTCAGTTTCCCATCAGTACCTCTTAGTTAATGGACTTTTCCACCAAAATGTGGTTTAGATTCCAGTCAGACTGGAAATTCTGATTCTAATTTAAGTATTTTTTTTCTGCATCTGGTTTTGTTTGATCAATGTCATTTGAGAATAATCATCAAATTATCATTTTCAGGAACCAACGGCAATGGAAACACAGAACCCTTCAGTTTCCTGAGTTCTCCAACAGTGGTCAGACGAGCTCAGATAAGTTAATATCGCAGCTGTGCGTAAGAGGCATTAAGGCTTCAACTGCCTCAAGTGAAGTCTCTTCGTAATGGGACATTCCTCCCCCCATCCCGGTCCCTCCAACTCCCACCCCCCTATTGAACCCAGGACTCTCACAGGTGCAACCGCATAGGAGTGCAAACTTCACAAAGATACTCTACGGAACTAGGATCGTCACTGCCAACAGAAGTAGAATTCCTGTCTGGTCTCTACCAATCTGGTGCTCCAACAGTTATATTCTCCCCAATCTGTAATTGGTCTGTTATGGGGGGAATAAAATACCCACATACCCATCCCAACGTCATTGGACAGTGAATTGTGGTCTTGAAAGAACTTTTGTCTGATGTCACTTGACCATCTCTCTTTCTTGATATATTCATAGGACTTTGACTTGGTCCTAGTCCAGCATTCCTTTCCAGTTACTTTTTTGTTACTGTAGCATATTTTAAAATAGTTTTTTTTTTTGGGGGGGGGTTAATTGATCTCTGGTTGGATTAAGCTATTTATTTGCATAAAATTACAAGAACTGCACTGTATAAATAAAATTAAATGCCAGTGTAGATGAAATTGAAGTAATTATAATGCCAATTTTTTTAATGCCAATTTAAATATATATGGTTTGCAGCTCTTATATTTAAGTGAGTTGGTTTAGTATTAGGTCGTAAAATATATATATATATATATATATATATATATATATAACACATATGATATATATATGTGTTTAATCATGGACCCTTGTACATGGTGTATTTAAAATGCATTTTATCTCAAAAGGTTTCTTGGCTGAGGCTGTTGACTTTAAGAACAGGCGCAACAGAGTGTTGTCATGGAATGGGAGGTGTTTTTTAAATTCTTTTATCTTATTTCGAACTGTGTTTTGCATGCATGAATAGTTTCTTCTTCATGCCAAGGTCAAGCTTTTCACCCTCTTAGGGGTGTCTAAATATATATGCATCACCATGTGCAGGTTAAGAATTTGAAAATATGGCAGCACATCTAAATTCCTACTACTATTCCATGCTTGTTTGTTTTTCCACACATCCTACTTTATTATGGTGTTTGGAGATGAAGGATAGATGGGTTCATATTGTTTGTTTTTTATGTTTAATTTGAAAATGGAATAAGTTATTTAAAATACATGCACTCGCGCTTGTTTCAACCAACTTTTCCCCTCTAATAACTGTAATGGTACCATACATGTGTGAACTCCTTTTAAATTTATGTGTGCAGATAACATGTACATGGTTGGGGTGAAATTCTGTGTGTGTGTGGGTCTGCCTGTGTGGGTGGAGGCTAATGTGGTCATAGACTGTGGCCTGTATATGTAATCAGTCACATTAGTCTTAATAAACTTAAGGGATTTATACTGTCAAATGCACTGTGTTAATCAACCCATACATCACATTTTGTTATATTTAGTTAATTTTGAATAAATTATAGTGGTAACACTTTAGGGAACACATTCACTGTATTAACTTTATATCACATATACTATATTAAGAGTTATTTCTCAATAAACTCTTAATTACTGCTTATTGATAGAAAGTAAGGTAGTCATTGAAGTAGTTGTGTTTAAGTATTGGGTAGAGTTAAGGGATTTACAATATGGTCATGCAGAATAAGGGATTAACATGTGCTTAGTAAGCACTAATAAACAGCCAATATGCTATTAATATGCATGCTAATAAGCAACTAGTTATTAGTGAATAGTGTTCCCTAATCTAAAGTGTTACCATTTTAATTTGTGATGAGAAGCTTGGAAGACTATTGGTGGATCACAATAATAAAGGAATTGGCAAAAATGGATGAATCTCCACTACAGGGAACACATTTGGGGCTTGATTTCAACAGAAGTTGGAGCAGACGCTCTTCTGAAAGCAGAAGGTGGCTGAGAAGATGATATAAGCCCAACTTCTTCCTTTGCATTTTCACATGCAGTAACCCCATTACTTTACCCATCATCACACCTTCATCATGTATTCACACCTGAAATGGTGTTTTATTCCTGTAAGTGACCTATAGTAGTCACACATGTCTTCCTCTAGTAAAAGGTCAGGCCAGAAAGAGGTGATATTCCCCTTCTTACTTCTCTTTCATTTTTGTTATGAGATCTCCTGCAATGCAAATACATTCAAAGAATCTGTATTACCTTGATGCTACTCGGCTCTAAACTAACAGTCTGAAATGTATTGTGTTACACTTTTCACCTGCAGCTCTTTCTGGTATTATGTTCTTTATGGGATGGATTCTTGCTTAACGCTAGCATTGCTTAGTCTTGTCTCATTTATTTTCAATCTTGGTTTTAAGTCGCATGTTTTAACGTTTTAATTATATAAACTATAAATGCACTGATAATATGGGACACATTTTTGTTGTTCATCTTGCTTTTTGGGACATATCGCTCTAAATTATAGCATTAAAAAATAGTTCACCTAAAGATGAAAATCCTGTCCTTATTTGCTTACCGTCGTTCTAAACCTGAATGACCTGAATGTCTCCATGAAATGAAAGTAAATGGTGAAACGGTTCATTCATTGAATGGAATAGAGAGTCTTAGACATTCTGCTAAACATCTTCTTTTGTTTTCTACAAAAGAAATATAGGTAAAGGTTTAGAACATGAGGGTGAGTAAATTATTTTTGGTTGAAGTATCCCTTTGAATTGGTCACAATTACAAGTAGTTTTTTCGCATTAAAAAATAGTTCACCTAAAGATGAAAATCCTGTCCTTATTTGCTTACCGTCGTTCTAAACCTGAATGACCTGAATGTCTTCATGAAATGAAAGTAAATGGTGAAACGGTTCATTCATTGAATGGAATAGAGAGTCTTAGACATTCTGCTAAACATCTTCTTTTGTTTTCTACAAAAGAAATATAGGCACAGGTTTAGAACATGAGGGTTAGTAAATTATTTTTGGTTGAAGTATCCCTTTGAATTGGTCACAATTACAAGTAGTTTTTTTCAAGTCGTTAACTTTAACTGTGCTATTTTGACACATTTAAACTACCCGTTAAAAGTTTGGGTAGTTTTTAGCATGTTGCTATTATGGCAAAAAATTATAATCACAATTATTTTGGTTAATATTGAGATAATGATTATTTAACATCATTACTCAGTGACTTTGGAAACATCATGCATTTAATGAACTTTTTAAAAACTTTTTTTAAAGTGGATATTTTAATTATATTACAGTTAAATAATTGAAAAAACAATAAAAAAAAATAGGTATATATATATATATATATATATTTAT